TTGGTGTTTGGCCCAACTGACAGTGACGGAGTTAAGCTGAGGAGGCAACTCAGAGCTCAGGTGCAAAAGCGTTCTGGTTGCGTGGACGAGAAAGGGACGCTGCAATAAGTGGAACGGGAGGTAAGCTCACAGGGTGGTCTGATCAGAAAGTCCTAACTGGGCGGGTCATGGTGGGTAGTCAAGCCTCAGGCCCATAGCATTCCTGGTGAAGTGTTTGGCTTTTGCCCTAAACCAGCCCTGCCTGCGTTTGTGCATCCAGATGAACACACCTTTGAAATGCCAGAATGATCCTCTTTTTCAGACCCCTTGGAAGTGTAACCGCCCTCAAGAGAGCAGTAATCTTGTTAAGCATCCTGTAATCCAAGCCCTGCCTGGCTTTCTCCCACCTTCGCATAATCTTCTTGAGTTCTCTCCTTAATTCCAAATGCGTAAAAGAAGCTGCAAACTGTCGTTCTCTGGAGCACTGGAGATCTTGCTTCCCGGCAATGGCATCAGTTTAGCTCAAATAAACTCAGACAAATTCTCTATAAATCTGGACGTTTCTTACATCAACATTTCCTTGGTGTTGCTGGCAGGATTTTGAAGAAGCCGGCCCAGGACCGCCCGCGGACCCGGACCGGTGCTGGGAGCCATCATGGGCCTGGCTCCCTGCTGCAAAGGGGGTGACCTTGGGTGAGTTTTCTCTCGGGATCCTGGACCTCCTTGCTTCACGTAGCAGGTCCTTTCTTTATTTGAGCTGTTATTAGAAAATCTTCGAGGTAAATCGGGGTTGGGATAAGCCAAGGAAAGGGTAAGAAAAATGGATGGATACTTTTCATTTTGGTTTAATTGGATTGTTTACTTAGAGTCTGAACAAATCTTTGCTGATTAAATGGACAGAATCTCTTTAGTTCCAAGAGAAAGGACACTTGCTTCCCCAACCCGAATAGCAATGGGGTGACGATTGTGTTTGCAGGCCCCCGAATCCGGAGTGGCAGAGATGGGCTCTGCGGGGCATCCAGTGCGGCCGAGCAACTGATCCGGGGGAGACAAGGGAACCCCGGGGAGAGGCCTCTGTGCAGCGCAGGCGCCCTGGGTGGGCTCACCCCAGGGGTCCCGTGCTGCGCAGGGCGTCGCAGTTCGGTGGCGTCGGTGAGCCTCGCTGGCCCTCGCTCCGGCATTGTTAGGTGACTGAGAATCTTTGAGGGGTGGCCTGAGGAGAGTTTTCCTCTCGTGCAGGAAGCAGTCCAGTAGGGATTTCCACTGCATTGGGCTCATCCGGAGACGTGCGTGCAAAGGCTGGCTTTCCCTCAAAGTTTGTTCAGACTCTACAGATCTCAAAATTAATGTGGGAAATTGTGCCTCGGGGTGACAAGCACCGGGACAGGCAGCCTCCCACTGACGGTCCTGCAGGAAGATGCCTGGAATGAGGATCCTTTTGACACTTCTAAGTGAATCTTTTGCGTGCACAATGAGAAAAAGCTGACTATAAAATTAGGTGAGGTGGAAAGAATGGAAAACATATTTTAATTGGTCTCTCAAAGCTTCAATAAGAGAAATTCAATAAATGATTCAACCTATGATGTTGCTTAGGTGGCAACTCAATTCTCTGAAGTATTAAAAAACAGCTGTCCTCATTTTCAAAGGGGGAAGGTCATTTGGAACTTGACTTGGCAAGGACAAAGACACACATGGTGTCTTTTATCCCAACTGCAAAAACAAAATTTCAATCCACTGTTTGTAAAACTAGTGAGTTTTTCTCATGGCTAAAAAGTCTCTGTTTGTACCTATCTATGTGTGTCTATGTGTCTGTTGTAAATCTGAGTTAATTTTCTACCTCTGGGTAGTATTGCTAAAATTAATTTAATAAATTAAAATTAATTGATTTGAAGGCAAGTGCTTATAAGGATTGGGTATTCTAAAATTCTTAGAAATATAGAAACTAACCCAATTTCTCTTCAAGTTCATGTGATCTAAGATTAATCTTTAGTAAAGTTAAAGTTTGTTGGCTCAATCCATGTTACTAACTGACTTTGATGTCTATGAAATATGTTTCTAGAGGTTATAAAACGTCTTCATAACTGACTTCTTAGTTTCCATTAGAAACAGACATTTTTTAAGGGTTAATATCTCAATATACCTATGTAATTAAAACTACTAGAAGTAATGTTGCAGTATTTCAGAAGGGCCCCAGAACACCTCAGAAGATTTTTTATGTTATATTGCATAGGAAGCTTTGTAAAGTAAGTGACAGAAAACTTGTACAGTGTATTGTGTGGGTAGAAAATTGTTGTAGGTTAAACTTCCAGTCGGGGCTAAGGGAAACCCAAGATGGCTGCTAGGTTCTCTCAGGCTCCCTGGTCAGACCCAGTCTCTGCTTTAGCATTCCTTCACACATCCTAGTGCATTTAAGCCGAACTGAAATTAGATGAAGGAACTTACGACCTGATGTTATTGAAAGGAGACATCATACACTATGGCAAGTTTTGATAAAGTACTTCAAGAAAATGCCAAATTGGTTACCACTTCCTTTCACAGCAAGCTCCAGGAGACAAAGACTTAAGATACTGTTTTTCAGAAAGGACATCAAATAAAGACACTCTCCAGCCTCATGGCAAGGGACCTACAAGGCACCTAACCATGAATGGTCACTTACCCTTGCCTCTACCTATAGAGGACATCAAAGACTCCTCTAGGATGAGGGGCTGTTGACATCAGAGATAAACAGATGTCTCAAGACGTTGGCAAGGCCTGCATACCTTGTGCTGACGTTGAACTCAGACACCATTTTGTCTGAGTGCCTTTACCTGTCTGCTAACGAGATCAGCCATAATAATAGTTATACTTGTTCTTTGGGTTTTTCTGTAGAGTCCAACTGTTCATAACTACTGAACATGTATAAGATAACTGTCAATACTCCTTATGGCTTATGTAAATGTTATTCTAGGTGGAAAACATGGAAAAACGAGACAGACACCGAAACTAGGACTACGGGAGGTCACAGGGTGGAAATGATGCAGGGGGTCTCACAACGAAGCACACCCCCCGCCCCCCACCGGCTGCCTTCCGTTTACCTGCCCTGCCCTTTTCAGGAAAACCCGGCCTCAACTCGCGGCCCATGGTTACGACACCGCCCCCTCCCCAGCGGTCAGCGAGAGCACGTCCATCCTGAGACTTCCTAGGAATGAGACTTCCTAGTGTTGTGAGACCACACTACCCGACCAAAAGATTGGCCATCAGTGCATTTCTCAGGCTGATTATGACCAAAAGGGGACACTGAATGAGAAAGGGGCTCTGTGGACAGGAACATCACAGGGCGATCCGATCACAAATTTCTAACCGGGGAGGTCCTGGAGGGCAGTCACGCCTCAGGCTTATAACTTCCCCAGTAAAAGGTTATCTTTGCCCTTAGCAAGCCCTGCCCATTGTGTCTGTCCATCTAGGTGAAGACGCTTTTGAAACGACTTTTTGGCAGACCTCTCAGAAGCATAACAACCCTCTTGTTAAGCGATCCCTTCCTCGCATGTTCCCACCTTCACGGAATCTTTCTTACATCCCCTCCTTAATTCCAAAAGTATAAAATAAACTGCAAAACTGTTATTCTCTGGAGCAAGATTTGAGATCCTGCTTCCTGGCAATGTTGTCAGTTTGGCTCAGATAAACTCTTTTTAAAAGTTCTCTATAGACTTGGGCATTTCTTATGTGGACAACTGTAAAAAAAAAAAACCAAAAAAACAAAAAACGTCTTAAGCAATGTACTGGAGAGTTTCAAGAAGGGGTGCTCTCATCACCCTCTGGGGGGACACAGTATGGACACGGATAAAGCTTCTTAGGCGAGACAGCAGCTTGGCTTGAAGTGGAACAGACAGGCTGTGGGACAAGGACTGACAGCAGCCAGGCCGCAGGAGAAGCTGGAAGCCCGTACGGGTCAGAGTCTAAAGCCCCTGAGTGTCAGTTTCAAAGGCTGGGACCTGGTTTTCCGTGGGCACTGACGGGCAGCAGGAATGGAGAGAAGGTAAGGGGAGGAAATGAGGGCCTTTGGGGGGACGGAAGGGCGCCCAGGGCTGTGGCACTTGGGGGAACCAAAGGGCGCCCAGGGCTTTCTGGCCCTGGTGGGGAGTGAGGAGGCCGTGCCGGAAACGGGGAGCCAGGCACGATGCGTGTGGGGAGGTTGATGAGGAGATCAGTGTGGGACATGTTGAGTTTGAGATTTATACGATTTATTTTAGTCTCCTTTCCCTTGCCCTGAAATAGTGCCACAAACAACTGAGGACAGATCCTGAAGTCACACGGGCTGCAGCAGCATCAGGACCCTGGACAGACCAACTTGCCCACAGCCACTGTTTAGAGAGGGGACGAGAATCAGAGCGCTCTGGGGGCAGAAAAGCTCTCTGGCGATGCCAACAGAGGGCTATTCTCTCTGCAGTGAGGAGGCAGGCATATCTCGGAGTCTGTCCCACTTTAGGGACAACAGATCTAGGAAACACCCTGGCCTCCGTGCTGCCTACTGCCTGGCACCGTGACATAGCGGCTGGGCCATCAGCTTACCCTGGGCTTGTGTGTATGCCCTCCCTCCTGTTCCCACAAACCCACGGTCTCCCTTCAGAGCTCCCGTTTGGCATATCGGGGCCAGTGCTGCTGGTCCACTTATGGCCCAGGGATAGCAGGGAGCCCTCCAAAATGTCTCTGCTTCTCCAGAGGAAGCCAGGTGGGTTCATCCATCCTGAGCTATTTCAGGCCTTTCCAAAGTTTCCTCACCACCTCATCCCTCACTTTCTCGATCTGTAAAATGGGATGATAAATAGGGTTGGGGGCAAATGCCTAGCACACATTTGATCTCATGTCCACATCACCTGGTTCCCCTCCAATGGCCCTGGGAGGCGGACCGGTACCAGGGCTAGGGGACCGGCCTGCGGATAGGGGTTCAGGCTAGGCTCTGGCGGGCGCCGCGGGGGAGCTAGGTGTGCGGGAGAGCCGGGCGGCCAGGTTGGTGGTACTCACCGCCGCCAGGGGTCGCCACACTAACATCCCAGGCCGCTCGTGGAGCCGATCCTGTCCAGCTTGAGGCCGAAGCAGCCCTTGGACGTGCCCTTCTTGCTGCCTCCTTTGGTTTTGCGCGTGTTGGGGGACTCGGCCAGAAGGCGAGCCCACCGAGACTTGGTGTCCACGCGCAGGTCCCGGAGCAGTCGCGACTGGTCGCCCTTGAGGTTGGCGCCGCCGCCTCCGGGAGCCTTGTCACGCTTCTTCTGAGCGCCGCCTTCAGCATGGGGCACGGCCGGCACCTCCCCCAGCGGAGTTCGCTGGACCTGTCCGAGGAAAAGACCAGGCAGGTGAAGAGACGCACGGCAGCAGTACGGGGGACTCTGCGGGGGCCCCTGACGCTCCAGCCCGACGCGCCCACCAGTGTGCGATTTGTCCCTTCTGAGCCCTGAGCACGCCCCCAAGGATGCCGGACCGCTCGGCCCTGCATCCACCTGCCACGCGGCCGCCGCTGTCTACTCCTTCGGGGAGCCCCCTTACTCTCTCTCCCTTTGCCTCTTGCCCGGCTGGCCACATTGGGGCAGGAGCTGGGCATCTGTCGATGTTCGCCCGAGCTGGGGACGTAGACCCCCAAATCCGAGCTTCGAGGGTGCCCCGGCTCTCACCCGCGAATCTCAGAAGAGAGGGCCGCCTTCCCGCCCTCTCCGCTCCCTCTGGCGGGCGGCGTTCTCCTAAACCCCCGGCCCTCCCACACAGCCCCTCACACTCCCGACAGCCCCGCGACAGCTCCCACCTTCGGCGACCCGGGCTTGGCTTCGGAGGGCCGGAGCGAGAGTAGGGTGAGCAGCAGGGCGCAGGCCAGCAGTTGGGAGAGGTGCATGGTGCCGGTGGAGTGGAGGGGCACACACCGAGGGAAACGAGGGCAGATGCACAGGCAGGCGCGGAGCGGGCTGGCAGGGCTTCGGTGCGGACCCGAGTCCCAGAGCTGCACGGCGCCGGCTGGGTGCGCTCTGAGTCCGCGGCTCCGCTCGCGCCTTTATAATCCAACCTGCCGCTGATGTCATCCCCCCGCCCACCCGGCAGCCCGGGCCAATGGCACGCGCGCCGAGGGCTGGGAGGGGGCCGCGGGGGCTCCCCCTCTCCCCCCACCCTCATCTCACCCCCCAGAGATCCCGCGGCTCGGCAGGCTCTCTCCCCGACCGCACTTAGAGCTGCAAAGAGGCGCGCAAAAGGGAACTCTATTTGCATCAAGCGCGCGCCCTGGCGTGCCAAGCATGCCAAGCGTCGGTGCTCCAGCTGCCCCGCACACTCGCTTGGCCCTCAACACACACCCTCTCCCTGGAAGGGATCAGCTTCCTTCTTTGCAGGTGCAAAGACAAGCTCAGAGGAATTAAGTCACTTGCCCGAAGTCACACAGCCAGAAAGTTGGCACAGCTCGAAATCTACGCAGATCTGACTTGTTGCCAAACTCTCCCCCGGGCACCTGACAGGCTCAGGCCTGGCGCTGCCGCTCCACTTTTCACCCCCCTTGCCGGGAGTTCAGGTCGCGCCGCCGCCTTTGGGATGGGGCGACAGAGAACGGGGTCGGAGGTCTGGGCGCTGGGACAGCGGGGCCGCAGGGGGGAGCGCAAGTCCTACACAGGAATGTGCAAGCTTTTCGCCCGACGGCGTGTTTGAGAGCGAAGGGCGAACGAGGCGGACTGCGAGAGCAGGCCTGAGATTCGGGCGCCTCTGCGTGTGTGCGGCGGCATCGTGTGGCCGCCACACTCAGCCCGGTTCCACCATACTGAGCATCTCCGGGTCTGACCCGGCGGTGGCTTGCGGCTGCACCGACGGGGGCGGGGGGCGCGCCTGAGCCGGACTGCACCCACGCGAGGATCCACAGGGTGGGGCTGTCCGCTCCGGGGTCCGGTGTACCTGTATTAACTGCAGAGGGGTCTTCAGCTGGCCCTGAGCCCAGCATGACTGCGGGGAGCAGTGGCAGGCGGTGGCCTTCGTATTTTCCCCACAGAGCAGTCCCCATTGTAGCTGTGGGACACAGCCCGCTGCCCACGACTCCTTCTTCTTGGGCAGGGCGTTTCATCTCTCTGGCTCCGAAGAGTCCCTTCGGGATGAGCCGTGGACGCTCGGGGCCTAGCATCCCAAGAACTGAGTGAGATGCAGGAAACTATGCCTGCGCTGCTGCCCAGCAGAACTGGGCGGGAGAGGGGAACCCGGGAAGAGGGAGGAAGCTCCAGGTGGGCGTCCGAAGCCCCTCTCCCCTTTCCCGACTGGACAAAGAAGAATGTAGCCAAGCTGGAATTTCTCTGAGACTTGCTTTATTTACACCAGCTTAAGGAGCCAGGCGGACTTACTCTAGAGCCAGGCCCTGGGCTAGCTTCCAGGGGGCAACAGCTAGGGCACAGTGGCGTTTTCCATTCGCTAAGCCGGCCTCACCGGGTGCAGTCGCGGAAATGAGCTTTTTCCCAGAGAAGAAGCTGTACCAGGGGCCGGAGGGCAGAAGGAGTTGAGAGGGATGAAAGAATCAGGAACTAGGAGGTGGCCCTGCAGTGGAGCCTGGACTCGAAGCTGGGAGGCAAAGGCTTCCGGCATCCCACCCGGGTGCAGTGAATCAGAAACTGCCCGCCAACCAGCCATGCCCTAATGCCCTTCGTTTAAGAGATAACCTACACCGCCCAGGCTGGGGTGGCTCAGTGGACTGAGCACAGCCTGGAAACGGTTTATTCCCAGTCAGGGCACAAGCCTGGGGTGCGGGCCAGGTCCCCAGTAGGGGGTGCTCAAGAGGCAACCACACACTGATGTTTCTCTTCCTCTTTTTCTCCCTTCCCTTCTCTAAAAATAAATAATATGTAAAATCTTAAAAAGAAAAGGAAGGAGAAAAGAGAGAGAGAAAGAAAAAAAGAAAGATAGAAAAAGAAAGAGAAAGAGAAAGAGAAAGAAAGAAAGAAACTACACCTGAGAACTGAGTTTGGGTAGAAGAATCTCCTGCTTTTGGAGAGGACCCAGGCTTGAACAGAACACCCTATGTGAGTTCTAGTGAGTTGACTCACTACCTCCATGCAGCCCCCATAGATTGCCTCTTCAAGGTAACATTCATAGAGTGGCACCACTCTTTCATTTGAGGAGAAAAGAAGAAGAGCAAGAAGGGGGAAGAGGAAAATATCTCCTGGTGGGTGATAAAAATCCCCTCTCCTCTTTGCCTACTGGACAAAAAGGAATGTAAGCAAAATGGAGCTTCTCTGGGATTCGCTTTATTCATTCCACCTATGTCGGGCAGACTGACTCTAGAGCCAGTCTGGGGCAACAGCTACATCCTTCGAAACCCCTTATTAAGGACAGGTTGGAAGCTTCCAGAGCTCCATAGTCACCTCCTCTGTCTGCGCGTCTGTAGGCTGGCTCTTCCTGTGTTCTGTGTTTCTTGGATGTACTTGGTGGCAGCAGGTAACTGTCTCGGTCTCCCTGACTTTGAGCTTCAAGGCTAAGTTAGAATGAACTGTAGAGCAAGGCCTCCCTGGGGCAGGCTGTGCAGCGGCTCCCGCCGAGCTGGGGTCTGAGCGGTGGGGCGGGTGGAGGTTCTAGGCCTGGGCTGGAGGGACACTCAGGGAGGTGGTCAGCGCATGACAGTTTTTGCTACTGAAGATTTCACCCCCCTCCCCCCTTGGTTTCATGGCACAGGAAGCTGCAGCGGAGACTCTGTGTCCCTCCCGGGCCTAGATAGGGCCCTTAGGTCCCTTCCTGCTTTTCCCTCATGAGGTCCACTTCTTCTGCTCTGGCCCCAGGAGCCAGGCCTGGGAAGGTTGGACCCACCACCAAGCCGCTGCATATGACCTGCTCATGGCACTTGCGTGAGTGCTCACTGTGAAAAGCCCCCCAGATGGCAAAGGAGACAGAAAAGTCCTGGCAATTCTGTAGGGAACCTCATGCCGTCATTTGTCACTTTCCACCCACTGCTTCCCCAAGTATCCACTGAGCATCCCTGCAGCCTGCAAAGGTGCATTGGGCTGGGAGGAGCCTGCAGGAATCACACGCTGGCTCTGCAGGCTGCAATGCGCACGGCAGGGAGGAGGGCTGGACTAGAGGGTGGGCTCCCTGGAGAAGGAAAAGCCTGGACTGAGGGGGGGGGGAAGGAGCCGGGCAGGCGGAGAGAAGGGCGGTCTAGATGGAAAACAGCAACTTCCCTTTGGCCTAAGGGGGAACATGCTCAGGTTTAGAGAGGGACAATACAAGAAAATCAAGGGAGAGGCTGCCCTGCTAAAGGCGACCTGGTGAGATGGAAGTGGGAGGGCAGTGATGTTGCAGAGCCCAGCGTGCCCAGGCCTGGTGGCGTTCAGGTAGGGGTGCCCAGAGGAGGCAAGCCTGTGGGGGAAGGTCCTGGAGGCAGGACATGTGATAAAGTGGGGGAGGGGTTTGCCTTCCAAAAGTAGGAGCCTACTGAGCTCTCAGACGTGGGGAGGGCAAGCAAGCCTGGGGGCATAAAAGAGGAGGCTGAGGGAGCGGGGTCAGCTGTGGGCAACGCAGAGAGGAAGCAGGGAGAGGGAAAGTCGGGGCAGGCTGAAGCGTGCCAAGCCTTGGGCGTCAGGGAATTGCATGCCTGGGACCCTCCTGGACTCCTGAAAGGTGGGCACGTGGAGAGGAAAGATCTCATTCTTGTCAGTCTCTCTTCCCTTTCTCCCCTCTTCCACGAGGGGCAAGGCAAGACTCTTGCGCCTACCACGGACGGGCCCTTTCTTGGGACAATCGATGTCCAGTTGCTTAGCAGGACCCTATGGGAGATGAGAGGGGACCTTGATGAGGATACCTGTGGTGACAAAGGTGTAGGGAAGGGCTTCTTGGAGCCTGGGGAAGGGATGGCTAGGACAGGATTGCCCAACCGCGCTCCCCTGGAGGTGGGAACCAGCGCCCCGGGGAACAGCGCCCCCTCCTGGCCCTGGGGCCCGACAGAAGGGCTCTCAGGCACACTGAGGAGGGGAAGATTGCTCAGAGGCCCATCTGTTTTCTCTGCAATTATTTCATCCCAGGGGCCCCCTTCCAGCTGCATAACTTCCCAGAGAGGACACTGAACAGGCGGTGAGCAGATCTCACGGAGGCCGGGCAGGGAAATTGCAGCAGGACCCTGGCCAAGTCCCATCACTGCACGGGGCCTTCGGTTTCACCACCTATAATTGGGGAGAAGCAGAGTGAATCAGGAGGCCGGATGCGAGCTGCCGACCCTGCGTGAAGGCAGGACAGCGCAGCTGTGGCAGAAGGGGAATCTGAATATCGCTGCACAAACACGCACGCTCCCAGACGGCGAGGGCACCCTGTACCCTCGAGACTCCACGGGACTGTCTGGTGGTGGGGACCCACGGAAGGCACAGAGGCCGAGGCCTGGCCAGGCTTCCTTGAGTGCGGGACCTCCTCCAGGAGTTCTGCACCTACGGGGCCTGGCTGTAGGAGCGGAGCTGGAGGCCAAGGAAGCGTCATCCATCCTTCCTGGGCCAGAAATTCCAGGAAAGCTTAACCTCATCGTGACATGAGGTCTTTGTCTGACCCCGGGACACCCCCACCTGATGAGCCAGCTGCTCTCCTTTTCCTTTCCCAGGGGCCCTGCCAGCACCTGCTGCAGATGGCCTCCAACACTGCCGTCCTACGCAGCCCGTGACGTCAGAGTGTGTCCCTCCTTTTCTTCCCCTCCCTTTTCAAATAAAAGATAGAGAGATAGATAAGCTCCACAGATAACCTCAACGGACAGGCTCAGTTCCTTGGGGGAGGGGGAAAACAACTGCTCACCACGGGGCTGTCGGCAGGCAAGCGAGGCCATAGAAGCTGAGGTCTGAACTCTGAGAAAGAGCGAGGTGGCAAGGGAGGGCCCCCCCTCCCGCCCAGCCCCCACAGAGGACG